CGGATGGAAGGATGGATGGATGATGGATGACGGATGGATGGATGATAGATGGAAGGATAGATGGATGATGGATGGAAGGATGATGGATGACGGATGGATGGATGATGGACTGACTCCACAAAGAGTTGACAAGTCTTCCCACTCTTAGTTACAGGTTCAGGCGGGGTAGAAGAACTTGCCCAGGTGGTGGTCAGCACCACGGTGCCTGAACAGGGAAGAAGCTCAGGAGCTGTCATGGGAGCAGGTGGGGCCAGGAGGGGACAGCGTGCCCCCTGAGCACGCACCAGGCCGTCATCTCAGAGCTGGTCTGACTGCTTGTTGTGTGCACGGAGGATGCAGCAAACCACAGCTCGGGGAGCGTGCCCAAACCAGACATGACCTTGTTCTTCGGTTAAAAACAAGTGAAAGTCATCTGCCCCAGGGTCACTTGGCACCAAAGTCCTGCGACAAAAGGGGCTCCACTTAAAGGGCAGCGCAAATCCACGGCATTAAAATAACCCGAATGGTGTCACTTTCTGATCAAATGCCTTTCCCTCCCGGGTTTGTGATTTTTGAGCCTGAGAATGTCTCCCCACAGCTCGGGTTTCTCTGCCGCCACCCGGGTCTCAGGCCTGGAATGTGCACACTGGCCATCGAGGTCTCATGTAACCATGTCACCGTCCCAAAATGGAGAGACATTATCTCATGGATGGTGGCAGCGGGCGGTCCTGGGCGTGTTCCACGGCCCGCTGTCAGCGGACACGCAGCCTGAGGCCCCAGGCTCTCATCTGTGCGGGTAAATTGGTCCCCCAAACCTTCCCCCGGGGGCAGACCCGGGAAGACATGGGCTGACGTGGGCCCAGGCTCGCTCGTGGGCAGTCTGGTGGGTCTGCAGAGAGGCGATGGCCGGTGGGGAGGCCCCAGGCGCCTGGCGGGCCCGGTCAGCACGCAGAGGTCAGGCGTCCCCGTGACGGAGGGCCCGGGCTCCAGGAGGGCTGAGCTGCCGCCTTCCTTAGCTGGGCCCCGGGGCAATGGCTCTGCCGACGGGGCGGTGG